ACTAAGATGACTAAACTTTTCCAAGATGACCAAACTTTTCTGAGATAACTGAATTTACCGAGATGATCAAATTTTCTTGAGATGATCGAATTTTCTCGAGATGATAATTTTTTCCTAGATGACTTATTTGAAAACCCGTCAAAATTTCAACCACAATCCCTCAAAAACTCGCGCTAAAATTATAGACAGCAACAAAAATAAACTTTTTACTTCCGAAAAATAAAAAAAATCATTGATTTTTCGATAAATATTTTGTGATAAGAAGCGTAGCAGTTTTATTCTCATTTTTTGAGCGATAAATTTCCAATTTTTTTGCGCTTTACATTTTGGCATTGAAGTATATCCAGTTAAGGAGGTGGGGTGGGAGGCATTCATTTCCAATTTCGATTTAACAAGAAAGTGAGCGAAAAATAAAAATGAATTGCATTACAAAAGTCAAGATCTTCAACTGCTGATTTCTCGTCTTTTGTATACAGCAATATGTATCGACAATTGCTAATGCTTTAAAGGATTGTTTTTAAATTAGCATATGAAATTGGCAATATTTTTTCGTATTTTCCTGTCGATTTGCTAAATTTGATAAACATTTTATCTGATTATGGATATTTGAGTTGTTTTTTGTGTATTTATGCAATGGGTTGGAAATGCTTTGTTGTTTTTTTTTTGAACAATTTGGTAAAAGGTGTAGATTCGGTTGAGATATCAATGAATCGTGCCTTGGGTTTTATTTGAATTTTTAACATTTTTCAATACTCTAACCTTAGTCATCGATATTCTTAGAAACTATAATACAACCAATTTTCCGCTTCTCATCTTCCTAATGAAACGAGAATAAAAAAAATCTATTTCGATAACGCGACGATATTAAAACCCAGTATATCACCATGATGTGATCTATTTCCAAACCAACAACAAAAATTTATTTCGATAGCAAAGTGAAAAAAAAGAAGAAAAATCATTTAAAAAGTCATTGGAAATTTTCAATTTTCATTTCTCACTCGAATTTCTTTGTGTGATTTCTTCGATGATATTTATAGAAAAATAAATTTATAAAAAATTGTATAAATTCCCCCTTCTCATCGTTTTAACATTTTTTTATCATACAATATTTATGTGGGCATTTAAAGGAAGGAAAATTGAAAGAAAAATTGCTTTCTTATGTTTCAGAAAAAAAAATAATCGAAACAACATGAAAAAGTATCTCAAATATTTTATAACATTTAAAAATGAAAAACTTTTGATAATTTATTGTCGCACACCGGGAAGACGATCGTTCTTTATTGATATGCACCATAAATCCATAATGATATTGTAATAAAAAGATGGAATTAAGTTAACTAGTATTAATGCTGAGATTATTGAGTGATATTTTTAGAATTTTAATGATATTCAGTGAAAATGTCGGAAAATTCCAAGGCAATGACGACGTCTATGAAGGTGTAATGATAAAGTCTCATTCTATATAAATAATTCATAATTTTATTTTCGTTAAATTGATATCACGTTTTGGTGAGGAAATATTTTTTCATTAACTACGTCAATATCTTGTTTCGCACAATGGATGTCATGATTGTGTATAAATAAACTTAGTGATTTATTTAAAGATGGAAGAATTTGACCTTTTAAAGGTTAGGAAATTTTGAAGAATTAGGTGTAATTTTCGAAATTACGTCAACTTTAGATTCATTGTTTAAAAAAACATACATAAGAATAAATTCTGAGACGGTCAAATTTTTCCGAGATGATCAAAAATTTTCCGAGATGATCAATTTTTCTAAGATGACAGAACTTTCCCGAGATGAACCAATGTTCTAAAATGCCATTAAAGATAACTTTCCAAGAAGACCAAATGTAAAGCCAATTTAACTTTCCTAGATGATCAAGTTTACTGAGTAAACTTAACAATTTCCAAGACTACACAATTCAGTTCACCAGTTCAAAATAGCTTCACAACAAAAAGAATCCAAAAAGACACTTTAATGCCCCAAAAAAATTCCAAAATTACCATTTCTAATCTACTAAAACCTTCAAAATTAAATTCCACAAAATCCTCTGAAACTATTTAAATGGAATTAAAAATCCATAAACACACGACAGCAGCAGCATCTATAAAACTTTTCATCACTTTGATTCTCCCTGGGAACCGTTCGTACCCAAAAATACATATCAAATAGACGCGCTAACAGAAATTTCAAGCCAAAATGTCGTTCTATCATTAAAATCGAACATTAATTTCACGTAAAAACCATAAAAATTAATTACTCGATATTTGAGTCGTCGTTTTCTCGTGAACGAGAGATTATGTCTGTCGATGTCAGCCTGCTTCTCCCGAGAAGTGAAAACGAGCGTGAAATTTGATAGTTTTTAATTTCGAGTGTGTGTTTTTCTTTTATAAAAATGTGCAATATATGCCAATAAAATTTAAATAAAGAAGAAGTTCTCGCCGAAAAAAAAAACAAGAGACACATTTAAATGCTTAATGGGCGGCCGGTCTTCAGATCATGATCAGAATCATGGAGAATAATATTCAGTTCTGTTTGGTTGCAATCTTAAATTCAATATATTATATCTTTCCTCAGAGTGCACATAAATGATTTCCGAGAAAAATGTCTCGCGACCCCTCTTATTATGACTATTAAATGTATCTCTTCTGTCTCTTCCTCCTTCCAATAATAATTCCAACATCCAGAAAATGTTTGTCCATTAATTAATGCGTAAAGTTTTTGCACAAAACTTTAATGGAGCGCGACCATACAAAATTTAATTAAAACGCTTGAGTTCGTTGCGGCGGAGAGACTTGGGACTGGATTGGGGTGTAGTCAGGAGGGTCCAATACCTTACTGTGTAATCTACATTAGTGAATTAATGACTAAACTAGGCTTAGTGATCAAAATAGGATCTCATAAACTATGTTGTAGCTATCCTGACTCATCATTAACCTCTTTGCTATTCACTATCCCACACCTAACCCCTCCTTACTCCCACCCATGCCCCATATCATGATCATGCACTGAATTTGATTGAATCCGTCTATTGATACATTCTCAATGACACTAACATGTTGCCATGTTATAAATATATATTGCATGCATTGTAATTTATCATTTTGTAGATGTGTATGCAACATTGCGGTTTACAGACATCATAATATCGTCAGCATGTGTTTCTTTTTGCTCTTTTTTCATTTAATAATTTCTTTTTGAGACAGAATGGAAATGCATACAGAACATATAGAAAGTTTTCTTCTTTCTTTCATTGTTTTGTTATTTATGCGAAGACAAATCTCATTTGTGGTGCTCATATGAGGGAGAAATTGTACATGCTGGTATGCATTGGATATATATTATATTGTTATTATTTTTGTTTTGTGCCTGATCGATAGTTGAACTTAAATTTGTAATTTTTTGTGGATACGGATGTGTGCCATTTGGATACTTAAGTACTTGGTTGTGATTTATGAGGAGATTGAATTGTTTCCGAGATAACACTTTTTACCGAGAAGATTAAATTCTACCGAGATGACCGAAGTTTTCTGAGATGACTGAATTTTTTCGAGATGACCGAATATTTCTGAAACTACTTAATTATTCCTAGATGATCAATTACCGAGATGATCACATTATTTCAAACTTAATGCAATTTCCGAGATGATGAAATTCACTTTTCATTTAAATCCCACTCTAAGAATCAATACAGTTCATTTTAAACTTGTTGAGCAATTTTTTGGATCTCCCAAGCACGTAAAACAAGAAAAGTCTTCATCAATAAGACAAAAAAAAAATCCTCAAACATTTAGCAAAGAAAAGAAAAGTTTTTTCATGCAGAAGAAAACAATTTATCTTGTAGACCAGAAAACCCCTGCCCCACCTCCTCCTCAATATTTTAAAATAAATTTTTTTAGCTTCATCAATGTCTGCAAAGAAGTTCTTATTTCTAAAGATGCAGTAAGACTTGAAAGGAGCAATTTATAATGGTCGATTGAAATGTAATCGGTGTGAAAATTTGCCGTAGCATCGGACCTGATTTGAATAAACAAACAGGATTAACAGACATTGCTTGGTTCCTCATACCCTTCAAATTGGCTTCTTATACACAAAAAAAAAAACGGAAGAAAGCGTAAAAAAACATTTTTTTTTCATGAACGTCTACAGATGTTTCCTTCTGTTGATTCTTCTTCATCTTCTCGATTTTTTTTTTGCATAAATTTTTCCCTTTTTTCACATCATCTCCATGAAAATGATACGTACACAAAGTCTGAATCAAAAAAAAAAAGTTGAGACGATTGATTCTTTGACACAAGACGAAATTGAGAAGAGCTCATCGTGGCTCCCTTTAAAAAACATTTTTTTATATTCTCTTGGGGTCGAAATTTTCTCAACGTAAATTTTTTTATTTATGGAAATGGGAAAAATAAGTAAACAATATTATTGAGTAGGGAACGTGTGATAGATAGATTCGTGAATATACAATTCTGTTCATGTCATTTTTTATGTTTTTTGATTGTTATTTGAAATAAAAATGTTTGTTAATGACGCCCTTTAGAAAATCAAGGAATGACGCGCTTGAAAAAAAATGAGCAAAAATTCTTCTTCCTTCTTTTTTTGTGTTTTGGGGGAGTGAAGAATAGAAAGACATAAAAGAGACAAGAGAATCAACAAGGTGATTGTCATGAATTTCTTAATTATGACAACTGTTCAATAGGGAAGGAACGAGAAGAGTCGACAAATTGAAAAATCATGTTATTGTGCTATTATTTGTATAATAAATTCTATAAATAATTTGATTTAGTGAGAAAAGCTTTTGTTCCGTTTTTAGGAAAAGTTTAACTTTCGTCGAAATTAACAGAATTTTTAAATTTGAATATTCAACTGTTTTCTAAAGTTCAAAATTTTCTAGCTGTTTTCTGAAGTTCAAAAATTTTCTAACGGTTTTCTTTAATACAAAAATCTCAAAAATTGTCCAATGTCTAGAACTAAAGAATAACCAAAAATAAAACTCACCTCTTTATCTTTAAACGTTAATTCATCAGACATTGTTCGTGTGCTGCTATTTAAATTATTCGAATTGACACTACATCGTCCACCATTATCACGCATCTCAGATGCATCATCATTATCTATTGCATCATCCTCATTATCATCATTTTGCTTATTTGTCATCTCTTTATCGTTGACACTTGTTGGTGTTGATCTACCGCTACCACAATTATTTGTTGTTTCCTTAACATCATCATCATCGTCATGCTCATCAATGCGATTCTGTTCAATCATTTCATTTACATCACTGATTTTCTTATCCATATTTTCGTCATCCAATTTGATGCTGTTGTTATTTAATAACTTATTTGTGCTACTATTATCGTTATTATCAGATGATAGCAGTGACAATGGTGTGGTTGAAGGAGATGGTGGCGATGTGCCGTTCTGTGTTATTGTACTCGTTGAATTTGTATTTGATAATGTGGTATTTGTTTGTGTCGTTGATGTTGAGGTTAATTGTTCTTTTAATGTATTTACTTCCTTTTCAGCAAGTGTCGCTCTCTGCAAGAATAAGAATAAGAAAATAAGATTTAGTGATTTATTTTACTACATTAGAAAATTATTACAATCTAATATAAAAGTTGCATTAAGCAATTAATTCATTTCTTGGCGTTGTGACAAGACATGACGACGATCGGCGAGTCGCTTTTATGCTGTTACTCTCTCACTCACTTCTGTCTTTTGTAAATGTTTTTTTGAAATGAGAATTATGACAAAGAGAAAGGGAATTGAAATTTACTTGTCATTAAAATAATCTTTTTCTAAGCTTATTGTAAGACTTGTCGAGATTTGTACTGGTTTTTGAAGTTTGCATAGAGGGTTGGTTGTCTATTAAGAAACTAAGTTGAACTTTCTATTCTGTTAAAATTTGAATTCTACAAAACCGTTTACATTTGAATTCTACAAAACCGTTCACATTTGAATTCTACAAAACCGTTAACATTTGAATTCTACAAAACCTTTAACATTTGAATTTTTGGAAATCGTTTACATTTGAATTCTACAAAACCGTTTACAATTGAATTCTACAAAACCGGTAAAATTTGAGTTCTACAAAACCGTTAACATTTGAATTCTACAAAACTGTTAAAATTTGAATTCTATAAAACCTTTAACATTTGATACCTGGAAATTCTAAATTTATAATTTTCAATGCTTTTTTGTTGACCAACCAGTCCTCATGAATCCCCCAACTGCCTCATATAGCTACTAGTACACAATTTTTATTGTTTTATTTAATTTAATTTCTGCTGAAGAATTCACCTTGAATTTGATTTTAAGCTATTTGTACTTTGAATTTTAATTTTTCAAAAAAGAATAAAAAAACTTCTCGTAAAGTTGATTTTAGTCGTTTTTTGTGTGCGCTACTTTGATTTATTGAGCTGACATAAAATTATTTTATATTCTGCAATTTTATTGCATGCTTAAGTGGCCACGATTTAATTCAATCATGAGGAAGCGTTGTATAAAATAAAATAATATAAAAAAATTCTAATTAGCCGAAAAGAGCGTTTGTGTCTGTCTAAAATAATAGTGCATCTGCCACACAAATTTTCTAATCTTCACACATTTTATTACACATTCTTTGGCAATGCTCGACTTAATCTCTAAAGATATATTGCTAATATTTGTGTAAAATGAGTGAAAACGTTTTAATTGCTTTGAACAAAAATTCATAAAATAATTAAGCATTATTATTATTATTACTGCAGAGATCTTCTTTGAAATCCTCATAATTTAAAACTATAATATTTTTTGGCACTTAATTAATACTTTAACAATTTTTCATTTCTGATGTTCTCACCACTTTTATTTCTGTTGAATTAATAAATAGATTTTTCCTCTACTTTTATTCAATGCATACTTGATATTATTTGAAATGAAAAATAATAATAATATTTGTTGCGAATTTATAAAATGTATGAGATGGCATTATTACATGACATATTTCTTTTTGATATGTATGAAAAGTTGCTTGGGGAAATGATTGCGGGAAAATCTAGACTAGGTTGGTGTACTAGGCGCATCTTTTTGGCTAGAAAACTTAAATTTAAATTTATTTTGAAGCTAAAATTTTCATAATCTAATATTTTGAGGTTAGAATTTAAGTTTTTGCGATTTTGAGATTAGAATTTAAGTTTTGCAATTTTAAGGTTAAGAATCCTGAAACTATCCAAATTTGAGGTTAGAATCTTCAACTTTTACATTTTGAGGTTAAAATCTTCAACTTTTAAGTTTTAAGATTAGAATCTTGATATTTATCAACTTAGACGTTAGAATCCTAGAACGATCAGATTTTCAGGTTAGAATTCAAACATTTAAGCGCTTAAACCTCAATCTACGAGACAAAATGTCTCCAAACAACCTTTCATCTACAAAAATCACTCACCAAATCCACCATCTTGCAACAAACTATATCAACCTTTCAATCTGTCTCTAGACGATTTAAATGATTCCTCATTATTTGCAAAAAATAAAATAAGGTAAAATGTATCGTCAATTGAAATTACTCACAAATACACACACATTTTAAATAGAATAGATGAAAATAGATCATGTTTGATGTACTGAACATGAAATGATGTATGCACTCAGTGTATTACATTTTGTTACAATTTATGCAGAGATGCTTCTATTGAGCATTTATCATGATTATTTGACGTTGACTTTATGCAATCGTTTATGATTTATGGTTTGAATAATTTTATTTGCAATTCTTTTTGTATTAAGCGATGCTTAAAGGGAACTTTGTGTTCTGGTGTAATTAATTGTGAGTTTGTTGATGAAAATTGTTGATTTTAAGATGATTTATCGTGAGTTTAAGAATTCTGTGGTGGGTTTGGTGAATCCGAATTGTTTAAAGCGATTCAAGGTAAATTTGTTGAGTTTATGTTTAGTTTGGTGAGTTTGGTGAGTTTGTGGTGAGTTTGGTGAGTTTGTGGTGAGTTTGGTGAATTCTAGATGAGTTTGTGGTGAATTTATTTGAAAAATTCAACCAATTTCCAACAAATTCGCATCGAAAAGAATTCAGAATCTCCATGAACTCTATCGCCATTAGAGTCATCACTCAATGCTCTCTTTTTGCGCAAACAATCAATGAATGTGTATTTGAAAATTGAGGAAGCATTCAATAACGATAAATATGAACGATCGTTATCTCGTAGAAATGAATAAAACAACAACAAAAATAATAATGAAATGAAAAAAATATGTTACGAATCGAGAATTGTCTGATGAACGTATCCGCTTTATTGGCCTCTTGATTGTCATCAGTAAATGTGCATGTACATACATATGTAACTCAAATTGCCATCCAACCGATTCAATTGATTTCGCTGATTATTATCATTTAATATGCAATCGTGTGTTGTATTTTACTTTTTGTGTCTATACATCGGTTCTTATTCAATGCACATTTTTCCCGTACAATTTGCAATACGCTTGCATGCATTTCAAATCAAAATGGATTCTTATCTCATTTGTTATTTTCATGCAATATATGTAAAAATTAATTTTTTGATATTTGTCATATTCTGACTTTTCTGAGTCAATAATAAAAAAATTGTACACTTGCACAATAATAATAATTATGTCAATCAGCGGAGTGTTTAGAGAGACTATAATGAATTTTCCATATATCATGGATGGATGGAGAAGTAATGAAGTTGAATTAAGTTTGATGAGTGATTTTTTCATTGAATTTGTGGTTCTGTTAAGCTATTTATTTTTTAATAGTTTTGAAATTCACCAAATTCACCACAAAATTCACCAAATTCACCACAAAATTTAAAATTTACAAAATTGAGTCATTTAATGGAATTTAATCAGAAAAATTCAAAATAAAATTTTAATCATTTATTCCTTCCTCCCATTCCAGCACAAAATGTAATAAATCAATCTCCTCGTAGCTGATAAAAATTATTAAAAAACAAATATTGCTCCATTTTTCTGCCATGACACATAAAACCATGTGACCAAATTCACAATAATTGCGTATTTACGATAAACTCTTGAAATTCCCTTACAAAAATTTATCAATTTTTTTCGTTGAATCCAATTTAAGCCGCAATCAACATCCTTTCCAGTAGCAACAAAAAATAAAAATCATTTTTGATATGAGCGACTGACTTATTTGTAGTGAACATGTGACACAAAACAAAAAAAATGTATTTATCGAATGTTTGAGCTCAATATGAATGCTTACTAATTATCAAAGCAGATAAAGCATAACTCACATAATTATTTTATTTTTTGACTGCATTATAATTTTTTTTTGTGTTTTAAAGGAAATTTGTTTTCCGTTTGTTGGCTCAGTGATTAAGTCTTCTCTGTTTGGCTTTATCAATTTGTTTAAAAAATTGGATTATTTAATTTTTGGGAGTATGGACATCAATCATGTCAAGTGAGGGAGTTGAGATACAATATGGATTTATTTTGATAGTTAACAATTATTATGGAATGTCACTGACCATACCGGACCTAATATAAATCTTTTATGTGAGTGTCTCTAACCCCATAAGCACTATGAGACATTACAGAATTTTAAACAATTTTAAAACATTCAGGAGGTTCGAATCCTATCAATTATTGATCTTTATGGTGGCTACTAGGTTCAAATCCCAATTATAATCAATAATTCATCAAAAAAAAAAAATCCAAAATCTAGTCACACAAACACACGCGCTACTTCCATGCCTATTCATCATCTATAAAAAATTCTTAAGCCGGAAATCTACGAATAAAAAAAAACAGGCAAGATGAAGAGAGGATGAAATTCTTTGTGTGTTCGTTAATGAATTTCATAAATAATTTAAATCAATTAACAGCGAATTTATTTTTCTCGTTGCTTCCTACTTTGAATCTTTTTGGGAAGTCTTAATGAGAAAATACACAAAAAATCGCTTGGGGAGGATAAAAAAAATATTAAAATTCTTTCTCGCTCGTGTACGTGTGCATGTGAGTTTGATAATTATTTTTTTTAACATATTCAAATATTTTATTGCTTATCGCATTGAAATTGATTACATATATTCTTAAAAGTTGTTTACATAGAAACTTTTTATTTTTTTGATGTTTAAGGAATTTTTTTAGGGGGTGATGATGATGATACAACAAAGAATCCATAAGTTGCTAATAAATTTTAATGAGCAATTTTTGTAATTACACCCTTTTACATGACTTTGTTTTAATTTCTTTCTCGCGGCGCCTAATGAAAGTTGGTTGGAATTGAGAGGAGGTGTGGCATGATTTTTAAAATTTTGAAAAATTACAAAACCTTTGAAAATTTAAAAATTACAAAATACCGTTAAGAAGAAAAATTCAAAATTTTGAAAATTGTTAGACAAAAATTCAAATTTTAAACCGTTATTTTTTCAAATTTTGACCGTTGTTCCAGTTTTTTGTTTTAAAAAATCATTAAATCTTTCAAAAATTGCCAAACAAAAAACTCATCATCCCACCAATCATCATATCACATCCAACGTGCCAACATCCAAAACAAACCTCTCCACCATCCACAGCCATCACATTTTTCCCATAAAACTCATACGAGGATTATCATAAATTTCAAAAAAAAGAACAAAATAAAATCATTTGAAAAATTATCTTATTTCGATGTCTTTACATTTCAATGATTAATCATCATCAGTGATGGTAAATTATGAGTGCTGTATATGAGTCTCTCCTGTCGTCTTGTTTTATTTGTGAAGGCGAAACTCTTTTTCTTCACATTTTCTCAGTTAAGACCAGAAGCTAAATTTCATTTCTTAAGATTCAATAAATTATTAATACTCATGACACGTCAGGGATTTGGAACTACAAGATCATCAAAAGTGTTTGTGATAGTTTCGAGTCATGTCAGCTCCCCTGCATCCCACAATTCATAACTTTTTTATTCAAATTCATTTTTTTATATTCCGTCTTGAATGAGAAAAAAAAAAGTTTTCAATCAAAAAAATAAAAATTTGAATAATATTGAAAAGGTGTATGGGAATAATGAAGAATTAAGAGCAGCAACAAAAATCAGAAATAGCTCATTTTTCTTTACTTGTCTCGTTTCCATTCACAAATTTCCCTTCTCCGATTTTTGTGTCTATTGTCATATGACATTTATGTCTTTAAATATTATTTGTATATGCGAGAAATAATGATCAAGACTCCAATTCATGTGTAAGATTTTGTCGATTGAAATTGAAATGAGCGGATAAGATGATGAATTTGTGTGTGTGGGACATGTGTTGGAAACATTCATCAACTGTGAAATATGTTAACCCTTTATGTCGTTCCTTTTAGAATGAAAATGATGATGTACATTATGTGGATGTTTTGTACATAATTTAAATTGTGATGTATATAAATTGGATGTGATCTGGATGTTATGATTTTGGATGTTTTGTAGATAAATTTTGAATGTTTTTTATGTGTGCGCGATATGGGAAGATGATGCACATTTGGTAGCGATATTTCATTTGGAATTGACAGTTTTTTTATAAGGCAATATTGAAAGTTTTGCTGCTTAGTTTGAAATTTACAAAACCGTTAAACTTTGAATTCTTCAAAACCGTTAAAATTTGAATTTTACGAACCCGTTAAAATTTGAATTCTACAAAACAGTTAAAATTTGAATTCTACAATTCCGTTAAATTTTGAATTTCTCCAAAACCGTAAAACTCAAACTCTACAAAACCGTTAAAATTCAAATTTAATAAAACCGTTAAAATTCAAATTTTACAAAACCGTTAAAATTCAAAATTTACAAAACCGTTAAAATTCAAATTTCACAAATCCGTTAAAAATATAAAATCAGATCCAAAACATCTCCACATGTTTCCCAGATCATCCAAAGATAATTTTAAGAGACATTAAAAACAATTTTTCTGAAATCAATTTGCCACAGAATGTCATCGACATTAAACATTTTTTCTCATCCATAAAACTTCTTGTTTCATCATTTTCAAATGAAACATTAAAAAAAATTATTAATAAATTTTTTATCATTAGATCAAAAGCCCATTTCTCGCTATTATTAATATTTTTTTTGCTGCTATAGCTCTTTATTTTTCTCACAATCATGGCAAGCAACTGAGCTCAACCAAGCCTTTATTTATTCAAATTTAAATATTTTTGCTCTTTCCATCGGCTTTTAGAAATAATAAATAATAAAAAAAAAATGAGATACCCGTAAAGGAAATATTGCTTCTCAATCTCACAACAATCGATGCTACTGTATTTCAATTATTCAACATCTCTTCCTCTGATTCAAGCATTTGTGACACAATGTGTGCTTTAATATCTGTCTTATTCTATTTGAACATGATTTCCATAACAAATGACTCCCGGAAATTGAAATACATATTAAGAAGAAATTGAATCACAGTCAGTCTTTTCTAATCATTTTTAAGATTTCTTTATGTGTGTCGATGTATTGTGTATTACATAAATTTAATGCTCTTTATGATGGAAATTGAGTTTGATTTTATTATAATGTGAGAATTGAAAAGATGATAAACTAATGATGTGGATCATGATGTTTATGGGAGTCTAATGTTGGGAAATTGAAGAAAATTTGGGGGTCCACTGTTTCAAAATTTAGGGGTCTATGGTTTGAAAATTGAAAATTTTCACAGATTTTTGATTAAAATTGATTGAATGAGTAGAATGACTAAGCAATTCAATTCAAAACATCAAGAAGACACCAATCTTCCTCAATTTTCTTTATCTTGACTCATTCCACTTCCATCTCCCCCAAAATATAAATTTCCTCAATCAGATAGAAAAGTAAAAAAAAAATCTGAAAAATAAAATAAAGAAGAAATCGACACCAAAAATAGGCAAAAAAAAGTAAGCAGAATAAAAATCGCTGTGCAATTTCCCACGCAGATAAAGTTAACGAAAAATATAAAAAAGAACGGAATATAAAAAAATGAAATAATTCTCTTCCTTTTTTTTCAGCGATCTCTTTTTTATGACATGATTTTGCTGTTTTTCGCCAATTGTTTGTTGTTTGGAAGTTGAAGAAAGGCAAGAAAAAACGGAAAAACTTTTTTTTATGCGATACTCGGTACTTTCTGGGAATTCAATTCAATTTCTTTATTGGAGCTAATAAGAATGTAATTAGAATTAAAATGTCAAAAAACTTTCATTTCCTTTTTCTGTTTTTTGGGTGATTTTTTGAGGTTTTTCAGACTTTTTGGTAGGGAAGTCAAAGGATTGAGGGGATGTGCTGGTTGTAGAGTGAAGCTAGTATGGTTTTTTGATGGGAAAAGTGAAGCTAGTAGTTTTTTTGGCGGGAAAAGTAAAGCTTGTAGGTTTTTGTCGGGAAATAATCAAAATAATAGACTCAATTCCCAATAAATCAAATCCAAATAAATCAAAATTACGTCCATTACCACAACAAAGCCCCACCAAACATTCATCAATACTCAAATCCCATCAATTTTGAGATGGATATAAAAAGAGACAATTAAATCTCACTCATTGCTTCTTTCCACATTCTTTCCAATTCTTTATTCATTGTGTGTTATAAGTAAAATACAATAAAGATACAACAATGTGAGATTAATAGATCATTTACCCAACTGGATATCATTTTGATTTCTTCCGATGATTTTTACGATTTTTTGCTTGTAGAAAATTTATTTTTTATAGACCGAGATGTAAAAAAAAAGAATTGAATAATTAAAATGTAAGAATGAGAAGAAAAAAAAAGTCTCAGACAATAAAGTTGTATTTGTGTGGATTTCCACCAAAACAGTTGCTCCAATTGTAATATAAAATGTATCTTTATATGTCTCGTATAGTCGATGATAGGAAAAGAGAAATTTAAAGCTTAAGAATCCGGTCAATAAATTTTTATGACTTT